CCCAGGATCTGTGACTGTGACCTCATTTAAAAATAAAGGCTTGCAGGTTTAATCAAGTTGAGGTCATCAGGGTGGGCCCTAAAAAGAGGTAAATTTGAACAAAGACATAGGGGGAATATGGCCATGTGAAGACAGAAGCAGGGATAAGAGTTATGTTGCCACAAGCCAAGGAATGCCTGGAGCTACCAGAAGCTGGAAGAGGGCAAGGAAGGAGCCTCTCCCAGAGGATTTGGAAGGAGCACGGGCCTACAAACATCTCACAACTGCTAGACAATAAATTTGTTGTTTTAAGCCACCTGGTTTCTGCTACTTTCTTGTGGAACCCCAGGACAGATATATAGGTATAATTTTTAAAATGGAAAATAAAGTGTCGGCAAGGGTGATGGTTAATTTTATGTATCGCCTGGGCTAGGCCACAAAGCCCAGCTCTTCGGTCAAGGGTTATTCTGGGTATTTTCATGAAGGTGCGTTTAGGATGAGATTAACATTTAAATGGAAGGATCCGAGGATCCTCTATATGGGTGGGCCTCATCCAATCAGTTGAATGACTTAATAAATAAAACAGATTGACATTCCCCTTGAGCAAGAAATGCTGCCAGCAGACTGCCTTTGGACTCATGCTGATCTTTCCTGGGTCTCCAGCTGCTGGCCTGCCCTACAGATTTGGGACTTACCAAGCCCCCACAATTGCATGTACCCATTCCTTAACATTTCTTTCTCTCCATAGGCACACCCCCAGCTCTCAGCTTTCTCCTCCTCAGCACTACACCTGAGCGAGGACTGTCGCTCTTGGTTAGGATCTGAGATGACCCCATGCCAGTTCTCTTGCATACAGAGCCCACATCTGGTCCTTGGGAGACAGACATGCATCCTTTGCCCAGCAAATTCTAGAAGAGGCTGCACACAACCCAGGCACCTCTCCCTTGCTCAATCATCAAAGCACCTTCCTACTGACATCCTGTCCTTTTTTTTTTCCAGGCAGGGGTCTGTCCTGTGTACTGGATTGTCACCCTAGAGGATACACATATTAATACACGTATTAAGCTCCACTGAAGCCCTCGTCCCTAGCCTGAAGGTAAGTAAGGGGCAGCTGGCAGCCCTCTCCCTTGGGGGACTCAAAACACCAATGGCTCTCTTCCAAGAAATCCACACCCCAAGTCCCCCACCTTCAACTCTAACTCCTGACTCTTTTATACCCTCCACATGAGTGAGAAAGTTTAGTGGGCTACAGGTGTTTTACCATCTCCATTGTAAACACAGCATATGGTACAGGCATGTGGGATTTCTCGCTGCCTTCCAAAACCCATCTATTTTAACATCTTGTTGTATGAGCGTTTAAATACCTACATTATTATTGAACATAGTACAGCTACTATCGAATCCCTAATTTATCCCAGACGTGGCACTAGGCCCTTTTAAAAAAATTCGTCATTTGAAGTTACGAATAGGTATGTTCGTAACCACTTTACAATTCTATAACTAAGAATTCACACAGATAACTGGCGTTCCAAAAATTTGTGGAGTGCATTGTGTGCACTTTAGTAAGACTCTCAGGAGGAGGTAATGCTCTCAAAACCTGTGTGTAACGAACTTGGGATCTGGAAAGGACTTCGGAGGTTACTCAAGTCAACTCCCCCCACCCCCATTCGTTCCCTTTAAGCAGCAGCTAAGGTCTCCAAAGGCTGAGGGACTCAGCCAAGGTTATCACAGTGAGAGATCAGATGCAGGCCATCACTTACCACAGCTGCCTCTGATTTGTAAAAAAAAAAAAAAAAAAAGATAAATTCTGATTCATACTGCTAATTTTAATGTTTATCCAACCAGTGGTAGAAATTAAATTTTAATGCAAAATAACTATTTCAGAGTCTAAAAAATTGAACCAACTGGGCTTTCAACACTACGTGAAGCTACGCGAATCCCAATCTACCATACAGGAGAATAATGGATTCTTAATTGAATCTGTGCTTTAGAGTGGAAGAATGATTTTTAAATGAAAAATCCCACGGAGGTGGTGATGAGAAATGAGTTTAGCCAGATGAATGATTCTGGCAGAAAATAAGACAGCAAACCCGGCTGGAAAATAGCTTTTTCTTAAAGATCTCGACTACACCAAATGCAGATTAATTTGTGCCCAGTCAATAGTGTTTATTCCCATCTTCCTAGTCCCGGTCCTGTGTCTTGCGTTCTGATCCTTGTAGACGACAGTCTCCAGGGTTCCGCATATGCACCCCTCTTTTTTCTAAAGCAACTGTATATAGCACAGCGGTGGTATTTTTGAACCTATCTAACGAATGCTCCTGGGAACCTAGATTTGCCGTTCAGTGTTCTCAGACTTCGGTCCTGCGCTTTTCTCCTGCAACACAACCACCCCAAGATTTTAGGGCTGGCAGAGAACCCAGAAATAATTTAGTGCAATACCGTGTTTCAGAGGTAAGAAAACGGAGACCCAGGGAGGGAAGCACGTGGCCCGGGAAGGTCACACGGAGAGTTAACGACTCTAATCACAAAAGTTAAGCATTTTGACAGATTCATGAACTCTTAGGCAGTTCCATCTTCAGCTGAGAATCTTTCAGTCATATTTTGTAGCCTGAAGTGCTAATTAAACCCGAGGAATTATGGACTTACTATTTATAGGTAGGAGTGGAGGCATTAAGTAGGCCATGAAACCTGCGGACACAGGAGATTCTGTCTCCTGAGACTCACGTGTCACAGTCAACCTTTACATTTTAAGGCAGGACTTCAGCAATGCACGGTTTCAACTCCCCTGATTCTGGACTTGGCCTTGAACTGCACTTTAGTCTTGAAGGACCACAGCTACTGCAGCCTTCTTGCATTCCCAGTTGGGGAACCCCAGTTTTTCAGACCAATATTGCCATCACCCAGTGGAGAGGTTAAAATCAGCCTTTCAAACCGATCAGTTACTTAGAAAGGCTGTATTTTCAAACTGTTTTCCATTATTTCAAGTTCTCGCCAACGATGCTCAGCCAATGTGCCTTCACTGAGAGTGAAAGGAAAAGAGAAAGGAACATACCACCTGGATTAATGATTACTTCACATTTCTTCTTCTTTTTAACTGTTCAGAGTGGTTTTCATTAGATTGCCAAAATCAAATCTCTCTCTGGAGGCCCAGCAGTGTGAACAAAAGTGCTGAAATCAAAGAACTTCCAAGTCTGAATCTGTCAGAGACTGTGGTGCTGGGGAAAAAGTCATTTAACCTCTCTCCATCGGTTCCCACTTCTGTACAATGAGGATAAAACTATGGAGGTACCTCTCCGGGGCACTGTGTGGATTGGCTAATTAAAGCTAATTAAGCCCCTGGAAAGAACTAGAAAATACTATGTAAGTGCCGAGTATTTATGGGCCACTAACAATCACAAAACTCCTAAGGGACAAGATTCTGTGCAGACGGCGAGATCCCTATTGGTGGGTCCTAATTACCCGCTGCTTACAAGGAAAGCAGCGGGTGTTCTGTATCAAGGCAGGGAAAAGAAACATCACACAATGTCATTCAACAACACCATCTTTATTCAAAAATATATATCTATGAGACATTTCAGAATATACTGCTGCCGCCACTGACAGCCTATACTGCTAAATAAAGTCCTAAATTAATATACAAATTTAAGCTTTAAAAATATTCTTTAAGAAAAAAACAAAACAAAACAAAGAAGAATGAAGACTTTCTGAGGAATATGACCTAAAGGAAAGATCCTTTGAGGCCTATGGATGCCCTAAAGAAAGAAAAAACACAAAACAAAACCACCCACCCCACCCCACCAGATCACCTCATACATACAAGGAGAAGAAAGGGTCATTTAAATTAAACAAAAGAAGTAATAAGCACACTTGGGGAGGATACGGGGAGAATTAAGATTTAAAAAACAAAAGTATTTCATTAAAAAACAAAACAAAGCCCCAAACTAACTTCCTCATAGGAAGTCCACTAGTAACAGGTGTTAGGAGGCCAACACATTCATTTACATAATTGCTACAGTTTCATTTTTTGCTCTTGCTGTATTAATTATGCACCAATTGCTGGTCAAACTCAATCAGATAAAACATAACAGTGGGTGAAATCCATCACGTTATGACACTTTCATCTAGCTGATCAGAGCAAACATCTACTATACCCTTTTGATTCATGGCTAGTAAAATTTCGCTTCCTCAGCGAAAGCACAGAGAATGTCCGAGATGGGTCCATTCCAAAGCAAGCTCACACGTGGGACTAAAGCAGCGCACCAGATGGGGAGCAGGGCGCATGTGCACAAACAGCGAAGACTAGACTTGATCTTGCAATTTTAGTAAGGTCACCTACTGCCCTATGGCCTCTGGGAAGAAAAACTTTATAGTTAGAGACTCATTAATTTAATAATGACAGGACAACAGGCAGTGTCAATAAGCAAACAACACACAGTCCAAAGTCAAATCCGAAAAACAGCTTAAATGCTACTATGTTCTACACAGAGTTAAACTGACACCTGCTACGACTTTCCGTCGTTCTCACTTCACGGCAGGCGGGAGAGCTTCTTAAAGGAAAGCCTGCCACACGTTTAAAACACAGGCTATGTTTCAACATGTTTAACATGTAAAACTACAAGTAATTGGCTTTTTGGTAATCCTGAAAATAGCAACTCAAAATAATGGAGATTCTGCGGCCCCCACCACTGAATTCCTTCTTACAGCTTCTGGATTTCAGCCTCTGGGCTCTACTCCTATTATACTACTGGGGCAAATTGTTTTCTGCCCTTTCCAATGTCAAAAATAAGCCTGCCGAATCAGAATGATTTACAGTTAGCAGGCCTAACCTTCACTAAAAGCAAGGTAAAAATCCTCTGACTACGATATATAGTCATAATGTCAGCTGGCATGATAATGGAATTAAAACCCCAAATTAAAAATCCCTAACTTGCCCCCCTTCCTCTGCCCGAGATGAGATATCCCGTGACAGCCCATCCGAGGACCCCTCCCTCTTCCAGGCACAGGGGCGTGTGGCGGCCAGTGGCACGCGCGCACACACACACACAGGCACAGTGTCGTATTCGCAAGGGACATATTCAAGTTTACTCACCATACTGCAGACACGCGCCCAGCGAAGTAAATGTTAGTGTGAGCCCTGCTCCCCGAAAGACATGGGTTGAAAAAGCAACAACACCTGTGCAGAGCCGAGACTCTTAGTAAGTCTAAGCTTTTGGGGTCCACCAGTGCCATTTCTAATAACTGCCTTCACAACCAATCAGGGCCAAAAGATCAGGTTTTTAGGAACGTTTTCTCTGACAGTGGGTGGCTGGGAAGGTTGCTGGTAGGAACCTGGAGCAAATAACTTATTTTTAACTTATGCTTGTGATCCCTGTTACTCTTGTTTCTGAACTGTGACTGTGTTCCAGATCAGCTTTGAATCTTATCGCTAGAGGCTCTAGTCTGCTTACAAAACAAACGCACCTCACCTCTGACTACACATCACTAGAAGTAAGGGAAAGGAAGGATGAGATCTGGCAAACCCTTTATGGCAAAGCTGCTTGACAGTTGAGCCTCCAACCTTTGGGGTGGATGGTAGCTAGGAAAGTCCATGACTCCAGCGTGAGTCCTTCAGTGGAGGCCCGTACTGACCTTGAACAAGCCCAGTTCAGAAAAGAGAAGTTGCTTTCATGACACAATGCTGTCATAAGTGACAAGATTCTTCTGAACGCTTCCAGAAGTACACATGATTTTCATAACTTCTTGGGTGTAAAGAGAGAGCTAAGAATGGAAACCCGACAGGGGCATGAAAACATGAAGCGGGAGAGTTTGTACTCCTTCCACATACGAATCCAAACTGGACTCAACTTGCCACTGTTCTGAATTGTGCTCGAGAGAGGACGGAGAGGAGAATCAGAGTCTGTGGTTCTTGAGGCTGCGGGACCGGGATGGAGGGACAGAACCAGGGGCCACAAGGTTATTTCCAGCCATGACTTGCCCTCTTCTTTCTGCTGGTAGAGATGGGATCTGGGGCATGACATCTGTCCTAGTCAGTTGAAAACAGGTCACCAGCAGAGGGCAGCGGGGCCAAGCCTCCCGTGACGTTGGGCAGCAATGAGAGGTCTGGCAAACTCTGAATATGGGACTTCAGTTCCTTGCGGACTTGGGTGACCCGAGCAAGCTTCTGTTTATATTCCTAAGGAGACAAGGAGAAGACAATGTGGTTAAGTCCGTGTGTGCTGATGGCCAGGCTTAGGGAGCCAATACAGATACTCTCAGCTTCTTGCTCTATGTTCCTCCCAGCAGACCACCCCTCCCTGCTTCAGCCAAACTACAGTGTTTGGGTTCTCAGAAGGAAAAAAACTTGACATAAAAAAGGAAAGCAGAGTTCAATACTGGCAACAGTGAATTAAATGGTATTTCGCTTCACACTTGAGATTTGGAAGGAAAAACAGTGACACTTTGTATTTGCATTCTCTTAATTGGTTCTTATCCATTTCAAAACACCTTATAAAATAAAATACAGATTCTCAGGCTTTCCAATTATCTTGAGGGCTCCACCTTGACATCCCTAAAAAACTTGATATAAAGCAATACTTAGTGTTAAACTGAGAGAGTAATCCAGTATCAACGAGCACCACAGAAGCTCGAGTCCCCACTGCCACTGCCTGCGTCCAGGACTTCGTCATTCCATGCCTGAGCAACTGCAGCGAGGCCCAGAGGAGGCCTTCTGGGAGGCTCCCCCAAACACGCCAGGCTTACCTTCCGGAAGGCCAGCCTTCATCAAGCTACTTCCTTAAGAAAGTGAAGCGGGGACCATACTCTCTCCGTGACTGCTCAGAGCTCCAGATCTGCTAAGACTAGCTCCCACCCGCATGTATTTCCTGTAGCTTCCCAATCCCCTGTGCACAGGCCGCTGCTGCGTGCACCATTGGTTTGGGGTTCCCCTCAAGCCTGGAGGGGGATCTTTCTTCTCCTGGTCTCAGGGAAGTTCTGCCTCCCTGTCTCCCCAGGAAAAGCTTTCCTCCTCATCCAGAAGACTGGTCCCCACCTCCCCCGGTCCTGGAGCCCTCCTGCACGCGGCGGTACGTCTGAGCCCCCAACAGGCTGCTCTGAGGCGCTCTCTTCACACAGGTTAGACTCCTCGGCTCCTCTAAAACAGGACTTCCCTGATGACAGGAACTGGTGCACTATTTTCTTTCCTCCCAGCAAAAGGCACCCTTGGTAAATCTGGATGCAGTAACAACCCTGAGCCTTGTGAGGTGTTTATGGCCCCTCCTGGGGCCGGTTTTTTCCCTTAAGAACAGCTGTGTCACCCTCCTCAGTCTTTCCACAGAGACAGAAAGTTCCTGAGGATGGATCCCTGCAGACTAAAGCCTCTCCTGCAGGAATGTAACAGAAAGCCCACAGAAGGGGCCATGAGTCAAAGACTGGGTTAGTTTTGGCTCTGGCTCTAACTTGCTCTGTGATTGTAGGTGTGGCCTTTCGCTTCCTTTGTCCTCACCTTCCTTATCTGAAAGTGAAGGAACTGGGCCACTCACAAGATTGTTCTTCAAGTTCTAGAATCCTTTGTACCGGATACCTTCTACACACTTACAAGAGGTAGAGAGTTTGAGGGCATATGCTTAAGCACTCCTGGGAAGAGTGATAAGACAGGAAACAGGTTAAATGAAGAGGTCAATCTGTGAAGACAAAGTCCAGGCAAGGAGGGGGAGAAGAGATATGGAAGCAGGGCCAGGGAGGCTCTGTGCCCACATTAGCGCCAGCAGTCAAGGCTTCCACCTAAACTGAGAGCTGCTCACACAGCCATGGAGTGAAGAGACAGGGGCAGAAAGTGAGCTCTCCTGGCATCCCATTTCTTTCCTTTGTAGACCTAACGCAACTAAAATAATGGCTGACATAAATTATGATGACACCCCCATCAAATTAGTGAGCTTCAGGAGGCTAAGACCAAACCCATCTGCTTTACCCATCCTCCACCATGACCAGCAGTACCCTGGAAACAGCAGGTGTCCAACAGTTGCCCAATAAATTAACAATACATGAAACAAAACATTACAAGCATGTCACATTAAGTAATCAGCTTTCATTCTTGAAGCTGGTAACTAATTTCAGATCTGAGGATCTAAAATGTCAAGGTTTCCTGCTCTTCCCTCTGCAAACATTTTTCTTCTTTGGTTTTTTATACTTCAAGGGAAATTAACAGAGAAGACTAATTCTCTATTACTGAACATGGATTCATTTAATAAACTTCTCCTGATTCTATGTACAAAAAAGGAAAAACAGTTACTAAATAGTTATCCCTTGCTCTCTACCCAAATCCTCTGACCAAAGGTGATAGACAAAAACCACCCTGACTTGGAGCCATCACTCCGGGCAGCTTCAGAGGACTTCAAGTGAAGGCATTCCTTAAGAACAGTCTAAAGATCACAAGCGGACCTGGGGTCCAAGGCTCTGTACCCTGGGGTGACACGCACACTAACTGAGCAAGTCCATCTGAGTTTAAAAGGGAAGGCAGGTGATCTCATTAATTAATTAATTAATTAACACCACCTTAAGTTCAAATAATCCTCTCCTAGGCAATCTTTTAAAAACAAACAAACAAAGAAACAACCAAACACCATTTGTTCCTGTCTGGAGGTAGGGAGGTTGGGAGGAGGTAGGGAGGTTGGGAGGAGGTAGGCTGCTATTATATCCTAAATATCATCAAAGAAACTTCATTTTAATTTTAAAGGAAACATGTTCCCCATTAAAGTCCTCTCTCTGGGCCAGTCTGAAAGCTGACAGATCCCGTACACACCTCCTCATGCCACTGGGTTACTCTTTCCACAGGGATTTCTACTTTCAGAGCAGGTGCATGAGCCTAGGAGGAGGACATCACTACAGAAAGGATGAAAGTAGGACTATCAATGAAAACGATTAAAAAGCAGGGAGTTTACATTAGCAGACAAGACAATGAAATACTAATCAGGTGTAAATCTAACAAAATATGTACAAGACCCATATGAGGAAAACTACAAGACTCTGATACAAATAAGAACTAAATAAATGGGAGATATTCCATGTTCATGAATAGGAAGCCTCAGTATTATAAAGACGTCAGTTCTTCCCAACTTGATCTACAGATTCAGTGTAGACACAGTCAAAAGCACAGCAAGCTATTTTGTGAATACAGACAAAGTGCTTCTAAAATTTACATGGAGAGGCAAAAGACTCCAAATTGTCAACACAATATTGAAAGAGAAGAACAAAGTCTGACACCATTCAACTCCAAGACTTACTCTGAAGCTACAGTAATCAAGACAATGTATACCGCCCAGAGAACAGACAACAGATCAATGCAACAGAAGAGAGTCCAGAAATGCACCCACATCAATACAGTCAACTGATCTCTGACAAAGGAGCAAAGGCAACACAGTGGAGTGTTTTCAACAAAAAAGTTGGAACAACTGGACACTCACACGCAAAGCACCAAATCTAGACACAAATCTTATGCCTTTACAAAAATTAACTCAAAATGAATCACCGGCCTAAACGGAAAACACAAAACTATAAAACTCCTAGAGAACAGGAGAAGTCAGTATAGATGATCTTTGGTCTGGTGATGACTTTTAGGATACAACACCAAAGGCCTGACCCATGAAGGAACACACCAAAGCTCGACGGTACTAAAATTTTCTGCTTTGCAAAAGACACTGTCAACAGAATGAAAATGACAAGACACAGACCAGGAGAGAATATTTTTATAAAAGACAACATGTGTTATCAGAGAAATGCAAATTAAAACCAGATACCACCACACATCTATTAGGATGACCAAAACCCGAACACTGACGCCACCAAATGCCAACAAGGAAGTGGTGCAAGAGGGACTCTACATTCTGGTGGGGATACAAAATGGTACAACTGTTCTGGAAGACAATCTGGTGGTTTCTTACAAAACTAAACCTACTCTTACCATACGATCCAGCAATCATGCTCATTGGTGTGTAACTCCAAAGGAGTTAAAAACTTGCACCACAAAAAAATCTACACTTAAATGTTTCTAGCAACATTTTTCATAATTGCCAAAACTAAGAAGCACCCAAAGCTCTTTAGTAGGTGAATGGCTTAATAAACTCTAGTACATCCAAACAACAATTTTGTGGCATTAAAAAGGAGGGCTTTATCAAGTCATGAAAAGACATGGATAAATGTTAAATGCATATTACTAAGTGAAAGAAGCTAATCTGAGAAGGCCACATACTGTATGAGCCCAAATATATGACATTCTGGAGAAGGCAAAACTATGGAGATAGGGGTTGTGGGGATGCACAGGCCAAGCACACAGAATTTTTAGGGTAGTGAAAATACTATAACGATGGACACATAACCGTCATACATTTGTCCAAACCCACAGAACATTATGACACCAAGAGTGAGCCCTACAGTATGGACACTGGGTGATTAGGACGTGTCAGCAGAGGTTCATCAATGGCAGCAAATGCACCACACTGGTCAGGGGGTGGGGGGGGGTGAGAGGGAGTATATGGGAAATCTCTGTACCTTCCTCTTATTTTGCTGTGAACCTAAAACTGCCCTAAAAAATAAGCCAAGAGGTCTAAATGCATCAGCAAGGGTAATTCTGAACATCCAAATACAGGTGAAGGTCGGCTTGAAAACTGTTAAAACATGCAGCTGGCTTAGCTGAGATAGCTGAATGACCTAGTTTAATGCTTTGAGGAGAAACGAGTAGGTAAGAATTCATGGCAAACTCTGACTAGGTCAAACTGAATAATGATAGTAACTTTACAGTCCCCTAAATAGATCAGGTAGTAACAGACTCTGATCTCCAACCTGTCTTTTTTTTTTTTTTTTTAAATATAGATTCAGTTTTTTCCCAAAGTCATCTATAAACGTCACCATGGACAAACAAGAAAATCAAGATTGAATCCAAACAAAACTATCCCCCAACACAATTCCAGCTCTCACTTGCCTTCCACTTCTCCCGCTCCCAGACCCTCACTGGTCAGGCAGTGGCACTTCCCCACTAGCTGCCTTCCCAGTTTTTCTCTTTGGTTCAGGACAGGCAGGGGAGAGAGATCATGAGAACCCAAGAATCTTTCTTCTCAACCTACCAGTCTGTCTTCTAACAAAAGTTTGGTCCACAAGCTCTGCTGGTACAAGGTTACAAACTGTGCCCTCAGCAGAAATCCA